CCACTGGACTGACTACTGGACTGACTACTGGACTGACTACTGGACTGACTACTGAACTGACTACTGGACTGACTACTGGACTGACTACTAGACTGACTACTGGACTGACTACTGGACTGACTACTGGACTGACTACTGGACTAACTACTGGACTGACTGGACTGACTGGACTGGCTGGACTGACTACTGGACTGACTACTAGACTGACTACTGGACTGACTACTGGACTGACTACTGGACGGACTACTGGACTGACTGACTTGACTGACTACTGGACTGACTGGACTGATTACTGGACTGACTGAACTGACTGGACTGACTGGACTGACTGGACTGACTGGACTGACTGGACTGACTGGACTGACTGGACTGACTGGACTGACTGGACTGACTGGACTGACTGGACTGACTGGACTGACTGGACTGACTGGACTGACTGGACTGACTGGACTGACTGGACTGACTGACTGGACCGACTGGACTGACTGGACTGACTGGACTGACTGGACTGACTGGATTGACTGGACTAACTGGACTGACTGGACTGACTACTGGACTGACTGGACTGACTACTGGACTGACTGGACTGACTACTGGACTGACTACTGGACTGACTACTGGACTGACTGGACTGACTAGACTGGCTGGACTGACTACTGGACTTACTGGACTGACTACTGGACTGACTACTGGACTGACCACTGGACTGACTACTAGACTAACTACTGGACTGACTACTGGACTGACTACTGGACTGACTACTGGACTGACTACTGGACTGACTACTGGACTGACTACTGGACTGACTTGACTGACTACTGGACTGACTGGACTGATTACTGGACTGACTGAACTGACTGGACTGACTGGACTGACTGGACTGACTGGACTGACTGGACTGACTGGACTGACTGGACTGACTGGACTGACTGGACTGACTGGACTGACTGGACTGACTGGACTGACTGGACTGACTGGACTGACTGGACTGACTGGACTGACTGGACTGACTGGACTGACTGGACTGACTGGACTGACTGGACTGACTGGACTGACTGGACTGACTGACTGGACCGACTGGACTGACTGGACTGACTGGACTGACTGGACTGACTGGACTGACTGGACTGACTGGACTGACTGGACTGACTGGACTAACTGGACTGACTGGACTGACTACTGGACTGACTACTGGACTGACTACTGGACTGACTACTGGATTGACTACTGGACTGACTACTGAACTGACTACTGGACTGACTACTGGACTGACTACTGGACTGACTACTGGACTGACTACTGCACTGACTACTGGACTGACTACTGGACTGACTACTGGACTGACTACTGGACTGACTACTGGACTGACTACTGGACTGACTACTGGACTGACTACTGGACTGACTGCTGGACTGACTACTGGACTGACTACTGGACTGACTACTGGACTGACTACTGGACTGACTACTGGACTGACTACTGGACTGACTACTGGACTGACTACTGGACTGACTACTGGACTGACTACTGGACTGACTACTGGACTGACTACTGGACTGACTACTGGACTGACTACTGGACTGACTACTGGACTGACTACTGGACTGACTACTGGACTGACTACTGGACTTACTACTGTACTGACTACTGGACTGACTACTGGACTGACTACTGGACTGACTACTGGACTGACTACTGGACTGACTACTGGACTGACTACTGGACTGACTACTGGACTGACTACTGCACTGACTACTGGACTGACTAGTGGACTGACTACTGGACTGACTACTGGACTGACTACTGGACTGATTACTGGACTGACTGGACTGACTACTGGACTGACTCGACTGACTACTGGACTGACTGGACTGACTGGACTGACTACTGGACTGACTGGACTGACTACTGGACTGACTGGACTGACTACTGGACTGACTGGACTGACTACTGGACTGACTACTGGACTGACTGGACTGACTAGACTGGCTGGACTGACTACTGGACTTACTGGACTGACTACTGGACTGACCACTGGACTGACTACTGGACTGACTACTGGACTGACTACTGGACTGACTACTGGACTGACTTGACTGATTACTGGACTGACTGAACTGACTGGACTGACTGGACTGACTGGACTGACTGGACTGACTGGACTGACTGGACTGACTGGACTGACTGGACTGACTACTGGACTGACTACTGGACTGACTACTGGATTGACTACTGGACTGACTGGACTGACTGGACTGACTACTGAACTGACTGGACTGACTACTGGACTGACTGGACTGACTAACTTTACATTAGCTAGAGAAAATTCTGCAGAGGATCGATTGATAGTCCTGCTATAGTACGGCAGTGTGAAAATTGAACAGAAGTTGAAATTGAGCGAAGGGCCATTACTGAGGCAATACTAATCAAATGCGCACTCCTTTATCTAACTCATACATTGATGGGTGAGGGGATTTCAGGTATTTTCTCAAATCAAGAAGCAAAAGAGTGCACGTTTGACTTGCTCATGTACGGTCCGTGGCTGTGGAATAGTTCTAGCGACGTTTATCACTACCTGAAGCCCCACTTTGCTGAAAGCATTTCCAGACAATGGTGTCCTATGCAACTCTTCTCTACCCAACTATTGTTTTGCTTTTCTCGTCGTGATCAATGGGCCTTCGCTCAATTTCAACTTCTCGTCAATTTTCACACTGCCTTCACTCTAGCGGTACTATTGATCTATCCCCTTCCGAACTTTCTCTAGCTAATAAATTATGTTTTAATATATGTTCTTAAATTAAAACTAAAAAAAAATATTTAAACACTTTTCACCAACTTTAAAAACATAACTTCAGCTTTCCTCACACAAAATATAACGAAAATCGAGAGGCGAATCGTCTGTGAAAATCAACGTTTTATTTTTGATTTACATGAATTTACTGATGTTTTTCATTCAGTGTTATTTTTCTCAAAGAACATTTGTTTACCTATAATTTATTTTGTGATTTTATTTTGATCCAATAAGCTTTTTTTCAAGTTATGATTTTTTTTTTTTAATAAAATCCAGTTAGAGATACGCCGTTATCATATTTAGATTAAAAAATGCAACCCTGGGTAGCAACCAACAAATGCGCAAAGTTTCACTCACATCGGAAACAATTGTGTCCAATGTCGTGGAAATGCTCTTTATAGAAGTGAAGATGATTAGTTAAAGGTTCGCTGAAATTCAACAAACTTGTTAAAACTTTAAGGTCTGTTTTAGGAGCTTCGATTCACCCAGATGTTCAATCAAATTTAATGAAAAAGTTCAGGTTATTTTTGGAAGTTTGGAGTAGTTTTTGGATGGTCTTAGATCTTGGCTCGGTTTATTTCAGCTTGGTAATCTAATAATTATGGAACTATTAAGAAGTTGAGATATTTTTCTAAAAGTACAGAGAGGTACCGTTGATTGCGGATGAAGTTTTGTTCGGGTTTTTTTTTTCTGGATTCCTTGATACCTGGTAATAAAGATACCATTTGCGGTCAATATCTTCGCTACCATTGATCAGTCAGTTAGAAATTGTGAACAAGAAGTACCGCCTAAAATTCCATGCGTAAACAGCAGGATCGTTGGAGATGTTCACCGAATATTATATGACTTGTACGAAATTCGTACCAATTCAGCAAACGCAGGAAATATCTTAGTTGACGGAACTTACTTGGGAGGCCCCTTTCAGGATCCTCCGGAGGCGAACCAGCCGCAAACTGAAAGCCTCCCTAATAAAGCAAATCGAACCTTACCTTTTTCCCAGTAGTTCTTGGAACTTCTCACGAATTCAAAAAAGCTCAAAGAAGCTCAGGGAGCTTTGGATAAGCTCAATGGATTTAAAAGAAGTACTAGTAGAAACTTTGTGAACTTCGTAGAAGTTCAGGAAACTTCATAGAACTTTAGAGAACTTCGTTGATTTTGATCGATCTTCAAGAAGACATCAACGAAGTCCTTTGGATATTTTACTGAAGATCTTGCATTGATCAAAAATTCAGAAGGTCGTCTCTTAGATTTTTTTTTAATTTCAATTAAGTCCACTGGCTATTTTTTTAAAGACTTCAGATTGATCAAATATTATTCAGAAGATCTTAACCTGTTCAAAAAACAAACTAAATGGGATATTTTGAAGCAGCAAGCAAATAAAGTAGTTTTGAAACTTTCATATTGATCTACAAGCAACTATCAAAACACGTCAGATTGAAATCCGCCAAAATTCCAGCTACCTTCATTAATATCCCATTGCAATTCCCAGTGTTTGTAAAATTCTCAGAATCTTTCTAATGACGCAACGCAACCGTATCTTTACCGTCTACTTCAATCCATCACCATCCTCTCGGGGGAAAGAGACTTAATTTATTTCGACAGGACCAATGGTTGGAGCACAAAATTAAGTTATTCAAAAACAATTCCCAAAATAACAGCTGCAGCTAGGAGTGAAACCCTTCAACCATCTCCAACCCCTTGAAAAGCTTCCAAACAACAATTAATACTGAACCCCAGCCAATTTGATAAATTGAAAAAGTTTCGTTTTTCTTGAGGGACCTCATCCGGCCATGGCGAGACACTGACTGGGGTGTTGGCGGTGCAGCTCTTTAATTATCATCAGGAATTTTTCCAACAAGTCACTCCCAGCTGTAGCGACACCACCGACCGTGACAAAACTCAAAATGTCACCTTGCGCCGATTTAAAAAAAAAAAACTTCACTTGTTGGTTTATGACAGAGTGATTAATCATTGGGTCTTTGTTTTCTTGTTTTTAAGCAGTCATTAGCCAAGCGCATCTCAACATCTCGCTCTTGATCGGATGGAACAAGCCGTTTTTCTTCCTGCTGTAGACACATAATCAAATTAGCCCTCTTCTTTTCTCCACTCCAAAGCGGCAATCGAATTAAATAAGCAACAATTTGATGAAATTACAAGCAATGATCTCCTCTCCCTCTTCTGACGATTCGGTTTCTGGTCTCTTTTGCAGGACATCTTCCACCGGCGGCCCACGACGCCGAAGCGGCAGCAGCAGCTGTAGGACAAACCTCAACGGAAAGAGCACCCGCAGCAGAAGCACCTTCACAGCAATGTCAAAGAGGAGGAAAATTGTTTACGGCTGGTTTAATTTCATCTTCTTATGCTGGATAATGCTCACCGAACAGTTCGTTAGCGGTAAGTACTTACTAACTTCCACCGGGCAGGTACCGACTCGGAAGACTTGGATCTTTTTCGAAAATTCTATGGAGTACACAGTTTCGCTAATTTTCCGCAGCCAACACTCTGCGCGGGGGAAAGGGTAGGGGGAGGTGGAGGGGAATTATGAATCGCCATCACCGCCACTCAAGGGAAAGTTGAAAGTTTGCTCTAAACGAGGAAGAGCGAGTGGGTTGCTGAGTACCGCGAAATTGTGGTGAGCTAATTGTCTGCTGCTTGGATGGTTTTTAAGGAACCGGTGGGAAGGGGGGGAAGGGCAGATGGCTTCTCCCCCAGGAAGTAATTTGAGGTAATCATCTAGATATTATCTCGTGCGGCGATCTTAGTGGCACGGAAGTTGTTTGTGCCAGTGCTGGGTGATCATTGGCGCTGGGGGTATTGAAGTTCAATTTCTGCAAGGATTAAAGATTCTTATATCGGATTTCCTATTCCGGTGATATGAACTGAATTTAAGTGGTGATCTAGTACATCCAAACAAATAATATAGATTCTTGGATTTGGGTGTAGATTAGTTAAAAATAAACACTGAACCTGTAATAAATCACCGCGTACACATATTTTGTAATGTTGACTACGGAAGAATTTTCATCAAATTGAATACAATTAATTTAGACCATAAGCATTATTTCGCGGATATTTAACTCTAAACAAAATTTTTCTCGGTGGTCCTTTTGCCATGTTTCGAAAGCTAAACTTGATCGAACAGTTCTATGGATTCATCTTGAATGATTTCGGCTTTGACTACGAATCCCTCCCTCCCACTACGGACATTCTCCATTGAACTTTGACATCGTCTAAACATATACTCTGGAAGCATTTGGATCTTACGGAAGACATCATATCAAGAAGACTGGCAACTTTGCCAGACAAATACAATAGCGTTGCGCTTGAGTGAAAGTGGAAGCAACGCATAGGAAAATGAGCAAATACTAAAACCTTCCTTCTGAGGATGTAATTTTTGCTATCAAATTCGTTCAAAGCATTTACCTTTGAGCGACGGATGACGCGATTGTACCTGTCTCATAGCGTTCGTATGAGAAATTCGAAGAGTTGCCAGTCTTCTTGATTTGTTGTCTTCGGTCTTACTCTAGAATTTCTCTGCACAAGTCCTTGTTAAAGGTGCAACGATCGTCCTAATAACTTACCAGTGTAATATGTGTACCAGTCTATAGCTGTCTACCAGCCACTGAGCAAGATGCGCCATTTTATTCAATCAAGAACTCGTTGTGTTGTGAAGTATCCTGCTATCTGTCACTTGTGTTTCTCATTAAATGATTGAACTTCACTTGTTGATGGTTTATGCAAGATTGATTTCATTGTTCAAATTTAACTTAGCCTAAACTGGAGGTATTTGAAGTCATTATGTATTTGCTAGCCAATCAGCGATCGATACATATATCGACCAAGAGAGGGAAAGAAATGATCAAGAGAGAAACCGCGCTGCGCCTTTCCCACGTTACATGTTGCATGGTGACAACGCCGCTTGGAAAGAGGCGTAGTGCATTGGCTTAGTAATTAGATCCTTTCCTCGGAAATTGATTATGCAGTACCTCGACACTTATTGTAGGATCGATGACTGACGACAGTTAGGGAATTTTGACTCAACAGTGGCGCAACAAATGCGATCTGCTGGAAATGAACAGAATTCGATGGCGTCTGTTATGCAGATGCCACAGTGTGCGCATCATTATCCAGAATAAATCTAATTTACTGTTTTACATAAAACTCTTGGCCTTTCATTTCACTGGAACCTCATCCCAAGAGTCCTTTATATTTGTTGTGGATGTCCTGCAAACATTTTGTAATGTCTCCGGAACTTGATCTGGAGCCCTCCAAACACACCTTAGTATTCTTCATGAAGTGTTCAATGTATGTCCTTGAGCAGTTATAGGAATAAAAAAGTGAATACGATTTTAATGAAGCTTGACGTAATTATTTGCTATGGGCAATGATTCACATTTTTGCTAAAACTCGACCATTTTTGATCTTGTGAAATTTTCGAAATGTCGTCCTTGAAATTTTTCTAAAATTTGTAGCATGGAAACGGCATTTCTGATATTAGACAAAGTGGTAGGGGAAAGTAATGCCCTTCTTGAAAAATAAACAAAAAATGTTTTATATTTATTAGAAGTTGAAATTAAAAACATCTACGACTTAAATATCTCAAAATGTAATTGCCAATTTTTGAAGAAAAAAAACAATCCAGGCGCCTAATACAAAGGTGCAACAGAAGGAAGAAGTGTTAGATTGTTTACTAAAATAAACTTTGATGATTGTATATGGCAAGTTTTGCTATAATCAATCCTCCTCGTGTTTATTCGCGAAATGCACATCGCTTGCATAGGGAAGGTCCATTAATTTTGTCACGCAAATTTGGCACATTTTCAACATCCCCCCTTTGTCACATTTTTGTATGGGCCTTCATTTTTTTTTTGTATGGCTCGTCACAGTTTCCAAGCTCCCCCCTCCCTCTAAAAAAGTGACATAATTAATGGACGATCCCATAGGAAATGAAATTGGCAAGGGATTTGTGACCAGAATACACCTTCTTGTCGTACGAAACAGGTCCAATCTATCCAAACCCATCCGTGAACTTTTTGATGTTGGCATCTTATATGGCAAAATAGTGAACTTTCCGTAAACATTAACGGCAAATAACTCATCAACACTAGCAGACCGTGAGCTATTAACCACCTGTACATCTTGTTCACCTTCTTCGAACGCACTAACTATGAATTTGTATTGTCCAGATGACGCATTGTTCAAAGAAAAATTTAAGGACTGGACATTTTTATTAATAGGCTGAATCTTTAGATCCACTGGAGCCATTTACCCTGAATATAGGGCTACGGGATGTAATGTCAGCTTAGTCCCTCACTTAGGCCTATCAGGCAAATAACTCATTCATTCAGCAATAATACACAATAGTTATTGTTGGGGCAACCGAAACAGAAGCGCTGGGAACACTGCCTGTGCCATAACGTTCCATCGCTATCCTACTGGGCTCATCGTTGACAGCTGTGCTGTCATACGATAGACGTCATCGCCAGCATAACCGGATACCGTCCTAAATTTAGGTTGTCCTTTTGATTGTCTAGTTAACCTTTTACCACGATAGTCGCGTATTTTAATAAATGTAGTTTTTATCGTTAACGTGCGCGTTAATGTTATTTACAGTGATCAACTATCACGGCCACCTCTGAACAACGCGTCGTAACAGTTATGAAAAACTAATACCACATCTGCTACAAAATTCTAATCCGTAAATCAATTGCCTATTTTTGGGACAAATTTTGAATATTTATTGCTCTTTTTCGAAGAAAAAGTTTAGCAAAATTATCTTAATTTTTGATTCCTAGGCGCCATGATATTGCCGTATTATTGCACTTACGAAAATCCACTCTTCGGGGGTCATCAAAAAATGCTAGCCTAATAAATCAATATCACTCTTTCATTCTTAATATCACTTTAGAAGATTTAAAGCTTCTAGTGCTTTATACCTATGGACCTAACTTTAGGGACATAATTTTGAGACGTGTTCCTAATTAGGGGTTGTCCATTAATTATGTCACACATTTAGGGGGGAGAGGGGTTTTGAAAACTGTGACGAGCCATACAAAAAAAAATTAAGGTCCATACAAAAAAAATAAGGTCCATACAAAAAATGTGACAAAGGGGGGAGGGGGAGTTTACAATGGGCCAAATTTGTGTGACATAATTAATGGACCATCCCTTATGGGCTACGAACTTTATATGACAACTTTGTTTTGGTATTGGTGAAACCATTCGCGTTGACGACCAATACGTAGGACTACGTCTGTTATTTCTATATGGGGGTACACTTTGTGAAAACCGAAAATGGAACATGTAACGAAATTATGAAAGATTTTGAACGTTAATAACTCAGCTGCCCGTGGACCAATTTAAATGATTTTATCACCAATCGATCAGAAATATTTCTACGCATCGATAACTATGCAACCGTCTGTTGAAAAAACTATTCAAAAAGTGATAAATGTCAAACATTGTCCATAAGCATCGAAATAACAAACAAATCCACCAGTTACGTACATGCATATGCTGCTTCCCCAACCCAGTCATCAGAGACTCAACAAATCGAAGTGGCATTCGCCTCCGATCTTGTAAGTGATTGTTGTAATCTTGTAACCAAACTTGGAAGCAGGGGTGCAAGTGATTTTGATCGATTCTCTTCATCAAGTTTCTGTTTTGTTAATAACTCGACGGCAAACACATTCAATGATACGTTTGTTGTTCTGGATGATTGAAGAGCATAGCAGAAATAATGCGAAATAGGTTAGTGAAGCCATGGTCATCAAAAGAGGAAATCGATTAAGAGAATTGACCTTATTTCTACTCGTTTGATTTAGCGCGTACTAATTCATCTGAACAGGTAGAGAGAAGAACCATGACCAAGAAACAGGATCATAAATTCGCCGAAAAAAGTGTTAAGCGTCTTTCTGCTAAAGGCTAAGTTTTACCAACTTGTTGAGAGGAAAACTGAAAAGTGGAGGAGCTTATGCTGGGTGGACACTGATATTATGCGGCCTTCCAACCTGTCGCAGATACCAGTTCAACCCCTGTCCAGCAGTAGACGGGCCAAGACTCTTGCGAGTGCTCAATAATTGAACCGAAGAAAATAGGATTGCCCGGTTCGATTTGCTGATCCAGCTGCCGTCAGCATGTTCCAAAGGCTTTAAGCCTGTACTACCATCGGCCCTTTTCAGGGCCACCCAGATTTCCAAAAAGAGTATAATTTCTTAACATGTCTCAACTAAAATTCATATCAAAAGGTTGTTTTCAGGACAATAATAGTCATACTAAAGAATATAAACAGAGAGAACCCCGCTCAAATTTCTATTCCTACACAAAACACACGACCACGTAGTACTACGTCACCATTGCGTACAACCCCATAGGGCTGTCACTTGTAGTGTTTTCCTTTGGTTTGTTTTTTCCGTCGATCTTGTTTTCCGTGCTGAGCACCAATGCTACCGACGTGCCAGGAAGGCAGCTCCCACACCTGGACCCTACCTATCGACCCATCAACTCATGAACCGGGGACCAACGGCTTTACTTCCCATCCGAAGAAAGGCGTGATCAGAGATGTTATGCCTCAGAACATCCCGGCGGCGCCGACTGGGATTGAACCCAGGCCTGCTGGAGTGAGAGGTAATCACGCTTACCACTACACCACCGGCGCCGTTAACAGGCTGGTGTTAGAAGCAAATATATTGTAAACATTGCTGAACATTTCTGCCAACAGATAGAAATACGTAACTGCCAACAGCTGTTTCGTGTAAAAAGATAAACATTGCAATGAAATACGAACACTACTAGACATTTGCACATTTCACTAACACCAATAATCCCTTTAATAACACCAATAATTTATAAATGACATTGGTTAACGACGACTCTGCAGCTGTTCACTACTATGGAAAAGCCCCATAAGCAAATTTCGAATTTCGTGAAACAGCGGATCGTTTTTTATCCTTTAACTCCACTGAAAAATCCCGTAGGCAAAATGTTAATCTTTGCGTAAAAGGAGGGATCGAAACGGCACACATGCTATTTCTAAACAACCCAAATCTGGGAAGGATCTGCTCATATTCGTCAAAAGTAGGATACCCCAAATTGAAAAAAACAATGTTTAGACTAACAAGATGACGAATGGAAAACATCGGCCTGAATCCGAACGATATCGTTCATTTGTCATCTTGTCTGTTTCAACTTTGTTTGGTCAATTTAGCGTAGCCCTTGTTTTGACGGATATGAGTAGATCCTACCCAAATTTAGGTTGTTTAGAAATAGCGTGCACACAGCAAAAAAATAATTTTGATATCACGTCAAAGTGGATGCACTACAATCATGTCGAAAATATGGTGTAATATTACTTGCTAAAAAGGACAAAATTATCATTAATACAATGCATGAACTGACATTACACTGCTTTTACTGCATTTGTTTATTTATGTGGTCATAAAAATTACATGAAATTTTCGACATGATTGTAGTGCATCTACTTTGACGTGATATCAAAATTATTTTTTTGCTGTGCAGTCAATCATCCCATCAAAACTATAGTCGCTATATTCATAGAATTTCGATCTATCAAAAAGCGGAACCAATTCAATATATTTTAGACCAACAATTGATAAGGTACGATCAACTTTTACAAACAAAACGTTTATTATTCTTTCCTCGCCAATTACCGGCACCATCGGATAGAGGAAAATTTCTCCAACCCAAAGATGGTGTTAGTTTGCGAAGGCGAGCCTTGAGTCACGAGAGAAGTGTTTCCGAAGTTTTGTTCGCAATAGCTGATTGCTCTTTACTGTTGTTGGTCGTGATTTGCTCGATTGGATCCGAGATTTAAAAAAAAAAACCAAAACAAACTTCACGGCAAATGAGACTAGCTCATATTTGAGTACCGTTCACTCAAACTAGCAAAAGCGTAGGTCACTCGTAGAATGAGTAATTATTTGTCGAATTTGAGTAAATGTCACTCATATTTGAGTGACTTTTACTCATATATGAAGGACATTATCTCACATTTGAGTGAAAAATTATACATTCTATGAGTTAACCACGTTTTTGCTAATTTGAGTGAACGTGATTCAAATATGAGTTAGATTCATTTACCGTGTAAGCCGTTGCAAAAACTATCAAGTAGAACAATGCATTACACTCGAAGTTCGCTAATTGGGGGTTTTCTGGTTGGGGCGCTTTTTAATTGGGGGTTCGCTTATTGGGGCGCGACCCAATTATAAAGCAGTCATCCGTCAAAATCTGATGTCAAAATCATGCTGACGTTTTGATGTCATATTTTTTGGGGGGTCTTTCAATGATTGATAAAAAAAACGAAAAACAAAATATTTTTTGTAAAAAATCAATTTAATTCATAAAACAAGCAAATTAAAACAAAACAGTTACAGATTGCGTCTCTTCCACTCTGCTTCCAGCAATTCAGTTCGCAGGGTTTTCAGTTTCAAAGTCTGAGCGGGATTGTTCTGTACGAATTGGATCACGTTATCAAGCGACTTCATCGCGGTTGGAAAATCGATGTCTTCGGGTTCTTCGTTTTCAGAAGCAAGGGCACTTCCGTTCAAAGCCTCCGGGTGGTATCCAACCATTCTTCCTCCGTGAAAGTTAAATCGTCTGCTTTATTCAAAACTGCGCTGACTATTTCTTTGTCTCTGAACACTTCACTGGTTATTGAAACTGTTGTACCATTGGAATCTACTACTCGATCCTCAAGCCAAAGCTGGATTTGCTCGTCGGTTGTGTTTTTTCCGGCTATGCCATCAATTGATGCTACAAGGGACTTGAAATCAGCAAAAAGATCCTCCGCCTGTTCAGACATGCTCCATTCACAACCTGGAAACTCATCGAACAACTTTTTCCAGGAATTTTCAATAGTAACCTGACTGATTTCGTCCCAAGCTTCAGCAATCCAATCAATACTCTGCCGTAAGGACACATTTTTCAGCCGTTGCTCCAAGGGCAAATCTTCGTTTTCCAAAACAAGCTTAAGCATCAGCTTCCGTTTGTACCTGGTTTTGATTGCGTTGATCACCGACTGATCCATCGGCTGGCATTCTGCTGTCACATTTGGTGGAAGGTACATCACTTGAATTAATCCATCATCACTCTTCAAATCATCGCATCCATCGTAGTGAGCAGTACAGTTATCCAGAACCAAAAGCGCTGACGGTTCCAAATCGTGCTCAGCAGAGAACTTCCGGACAGCGGGAATGAACTCGTCATAAAACCAGGTACGGAACAACTGACGTGTCATCCAAGCTTTTTTGGAATTGTAGTAGGATACCGGTAATGATTGCTGAAAGCCGCGAGGAGATCCACGGGGGTTCTCGGCTACCCCAATGAACATCAGTTTCATTTTGAGAGAACCATCCATGTTCGAGCACGGCATGAATGTGAATCGGGTTTTGTTGAGCTTTCGTCCCGAAGCGACTGTCTCGTCCCATAATGCGATAGTGCGTGATGCCATCAGCTTGGTGAAAAGTGCTGATTCATCTGCATTAAAAATTTGGGCTTTTGTCACATTCATTTCCAATACTTTCTTCATGAGCACTTCCTTGAATTTAAGGTACGCTTCTTTATCCGCGGAAGCTTTCTCTCCTGCCACCACCAAAACACGTAATCCGAAACGCTGTTTAAAACGGCGCACCCAGCCATCCGAAATCAAAAAAGTAAGATCCAGATAAACACCAAGATCTTGAAAGCATTCGAACAGTTGTTCTGCTTTGGCCTTGATCACATCCAATGTGACAATAATATTAGCCTCACGTTGTTGCAAAACCCATAGGTAAAGCGCTTCCTCCAGTAAGGGAAAATTCTGCTCCTTCATCGTTTTTCGATTTTCCACGCCATGTTCTCTGAATTTTTCTAGTTTCATCCGAATTGACTCCTTATTTTTCAAAAATCGACCGACCGAGGATGCTCCGACACCAAACCTTTTGCCTAATATTTCGTGGGAACCGTTTCCTGCTTCAAATTCCTCGATTATTCTCACCTTCTGAGCCAAGGTAAGCGTAGTGTGCTTCCGTTTCACGACTTGCTTATTATCCACTCCGGAACTGGAAGCTGATACTCCTTCCATTGTGAAAGCTGAACAAATTTCAGGAGGATAATTGCTACAACATTACAAACAACGTATGAATGCACAAATATTTACCAGCGCCGGAAATAACTCAACAAAATATTCAATCGATTCACTCAATTTACACTCACGCAAGACAAAAACTAAGTAGCTGCTCACAGCATCAGTTAAACAGACGAAAGACTGAAAACCAAAACAAACGAGTCAAGCGCCCCCCGGTCAACTTTGACACTTGTCGACACCCCCCAATTAGCGAATGTCATTCGATAATTGGGGTGCAGTCGTGCCCCAATTAGCGAACGGCTACTGTAGATCCTAATTAACATTGATCGATTCTCCTCGTCGACTTTCTCTTTCGTTACTAACTTGGCTACAAAACCGTTTCTTGTCGTATTTTCCGCATTAGATGCTTGATAATAATATCTTATATCGAACTATGTGTTGAAAACAGGTGGAAATGTGTATATATGGCCGTGGGGATGCAAAAAGGAAATCTACAAAGAAAATCTGTAAATGTTACTTAGGAGCTAATGCATTCCCAACAAACAATCGTCTATTGAAGAAACGACTTCTTGACGATTTTATACAACTGCATGCTTTTTAATAATAACTTTGTAAGAAAGTTTAAACATACTGAGAGGTTAGCACATATCATCGGTAAGAGACGTGTGTGTGAGAAAATTTGCGAAAAAATCTCCACCGTTGTATAATTGGCAATACATCCGTGTACTGAACGGGGATTGTGGGTTCGAATCCCACAGGTGCCCTTAGATTTTTTCGCAAATTTTCTCACACACACGTCTCTTACCGATGATATGTGCTAACCTCTCAGTATGTTCAAACTTTTTACAAACAATTAAATTGGCTGCAAGTCGCTAAAACGTAAATCAAAAATTTAATAACAACTTCTGTTCAGGTTTTTTTCACACAACTCTGTAGAATTTATTCCACCACAACACATTGAACTATAAGTGTTGTATAAGGTATGTCGAGAAGCTGATATTCGACTTTTATGAGTTGTAACAGAGCTTATTCGATGACATTTTTGATTATTCAGCGTTTATTACACACTTAGAAATTATTATTTTTACACGAGACGTAATTCAGCTTTGACGTAAATCATGGAACGTAAACAAACATGGCATGTAAAATTAAGTGTCGTGAAACTGAAACACATGCAACTCGACGAAAAGTGCGTTTGATTGAATTGATTTTCTCGTCCTTTTCAACTGATATGTCAAAAAGGCCGCTTGCATGTGTAGGTCTCAGGGCACTTAAATTTACATGTCTTTTTCGTAGTGTGTAGACATCACTGCTTCCCCTTAATTAAAACAGTGATGCTCTGTATACGCTTGATTCTAAAGTGAAGTAACGTTTAATTGGACATTATTATAAATTTATTAACAGATTATTCAACTGTGGAAAATTAACCCAAAAATAAGAGAGATGATGAAGGGGGGGGGGGTACAAAGGGATGGGTGTTAGTTACTCTTTAGTAGTGATTAATTACATTATTTCTGACGTGGCATGTACCACACAGATATTAAAAAATTAACTACATATACATTCGAACCATAGACCTTCCGATCACCAGCCGCTTGCCTTGTCATCTGAGCTTTCCTAGAATTCATCATAAGTGCAGCTCAATATTCAATAAAAACTTGCTTGAAAGTGAATACCTATCAGCACTCTCGATCGCAACTCTAGCTCCTTCAAGTCTTGTTGTTAGACTGAACCAATGTTGTGGAATAATGAATCCAATACGCCGTTTATAAAGCATTTACAAGGCATGGGATTATATGATGATGATGATGATGATGATGGTCCCCACAAAGGTTTGAGCTGGACGAGTTATCTTTAAGATAATTAAATATAAACATTTTTACCAGGTTTGCAAACAAAATCGAGCTGGTTACAATTACAGATATAAATTTCCTGTTAAATATGCTATAGGCATCAACCAAAAACATTCAAAAGTGTAACTAGTTATCAAGAGTCCAAGTATAGTCCTCGACAATACTTCCATTTAAACGTGACCTGGGATTTACACGTTTAAGCTTCGGCAGTGCCAGGACTATATCCAAGGAAATGACTTCCAGCCAACCCTTTAATAATTCAAGGCTTTTGCCACAATTTCCACGTATTAGTCATTTATACCTGTATTCCGCGCGCGAGGCTCAAACCATTGTAGACTACTCAAAGCTATTTTTACTATTACTACTACAATATCAAAAAACTAAAAATCCATCATCACCATCGAGGCAAACAATGTAGTTTTTTGTATATGCTACACAAATTACTAAAATGTCTTTATGACAGTCTCCATACAAAATAATCCGTTAGAGATAACTTTGTCAAGATACATGATTTATCCATTAATAAAAGTTGGAAGGGTTGTATACTAGATACGACCGCAGGGTTGGCGTTGGATAAGGTCTGTTATGTGTTGTACTTAATTGTGTATATTATATTTTAGGAATATTCCTTAATAACTCTTTTGCGAAAGTTTGGTGGCCCTAAAAAGGGCCGTTTTGTTGGGCTGATCATAATTTGTCGTGTAGCCTTAGTTATACACAGTGTAACACAGGAAAAATCCAGCTTAGGCCTAAGGGTTCAGTTTTATGCCACAATCAAAGTATTTACTTGAGAAATTTGAAATTGATTTTCAACTATTTGCTGTTATTTTCTGAAACATTGAGCATTGTTTGAAATTCAATTGAATTGATCTAAACGTTTTTCAGCATCCTGTTTGGAGGTACATTTATAGCATTCACAATACAAATGTTCACTTTTAATGAAAGCAGATACACAGAGAAACTATTATTCGCACATATTTTAAAAATGTAAATGCCCCTGTAAGTTTTTCAATAGCTACTATTGAAGGTTTTGTCACGAGAAGATGCTGCTTGTGTCTAATGAATGATGAAAGAGTTTGATATTGTATGAATGATGCTGACCTCAGCCATTTTTGTTACTGGTGAGCTGATACCTTAACTATTTATCTTTAAAATTCCGATAACAGCTTATTTGATTATGCAAAGATAAATACCTTAATTAACATTTTTCTCAGGCGTTTTCATTAATTTCTTGTCTCGATTCCGGAATTGCACGACGTATCTGGAACTACCACACCAAAATGTATGCAGAATATTGTCGGTACTGGATTAGTAGCGGTAACCAGCAGGACCTACGTTGATTTAAGCTTAACACCCGCAGATTGATGAACGCTCCATCACATCACTTTAACCTTTCACATTCTGGCAAGAAAGTCAATTCTAAAAGACCTATTAAATTTATATGGTGGCCCTGAAAAGGGCCGGTTTTTTGTTCTGAGTGGATGATACTAAATTAACCCTCGAATCCGTACAGAGTACGTCCCTGCCGCTTCAGAGCGTAAACGACATCCAAGTGAACAAAAATTCCAAATTTTGGCTGTTTTATACCTACTCGAGGGTTAAATTCTTTTGGTTAGTTGTTGCGTTCTTGTTCTTTCATCGTTTCTGATTGGTTGAACACAGCAAACGCATGTTATAAAACAGAATGGAAGTGATTTTTATTTTTTATTCCACAGTGTGCTTTCATTGCATACGCTTTCATTGCATACACATCACAACCAGCTCAGCAGACCGTTCGCAAGTCCACTGGAGGAAAGGCTCCTCGCAAGCAGTTGGCAACGAAGGCCACCGGAGTAGGAAAGAAGCCCCATCGCTACCGGCCAGGCACCGTCGCCTTGCGTGAGATCCGTCGCTATCAGAAATCCACCGAACTGCCGATCCGAAAGTTGCCTTTCCAACGTCTGGTCCGTGAAATTGCCCAGGACTTCAAGACCGATCTGCGCTTCCAGAGCTCAGCTGTTATGGCTCTGCAGTAAACTAGCGAGGCCTATCTGGTCGGTCTGTTCGAGGATACCAATCTGTGTGCCATCCACGCCAAGCACGTCACTATCATGCCGAAGGACATCCAGCTGGCTCGTCGTATCTTAACAAAACCGGCCCTTTTCAGTATAAGAGGTATTATGCTGACTGTATCCACCATTATTCAGCTATATTGTAAAGGAATGCAATGAAATCTAATAATGAAACTAGAAAACATTTATTAGACGTCTATTAAAGTATGTTATTAAATCAATTGAAAACAATCTAATTAAAGCGTCAATGTACAAATTACACTTATTCAGTTTGTTATCAGATCAAACTTCTGGCGTTGAATTGTGAGGACAGTCGACGTTTATACAGCTTTTAATAAGAAAATTAATCAGATCAGAGCAAACAGTGGAATAAATGTATATCTATCGATCTCAATGAGCTTTTTTCAGCACATAATTTGACAACTCGTTCTATTCAGCATTGTACACTGTAATACAGCATTTATTCAATATGTATATATACTTATTTGTGACTTTGAATTGTTTGTTGGGGGTCAGCTTGCTAATACTTGACAGTTCGTTATATGTGTGTTCGTGAGATCTATTTGCCTTTATTTTTATTCTATACGCTGGCAACTGGCTTCTTACTCTTTTATCTCTATCTTTATCTCTATATATATATCTATCTTTATCTCTATATATATATATCTATCTCTATCTTACGCACTTCAAATCGGCCAATCACGAGCTGGTTCGCGTTTGACAGAAAAGTGATTCGTTTTTGCTCCCGTTTTGTCTCCTAGCATTAGCACGGTGAGAAAAAATGTGTATGATTACTCAGAAGTGAGTAAACATTGTTTTTAGACAAATAGAGAAGTAAGATATGCTAAATCAATGTTTCTCAGATTTTGAAATTTTGTACAAAAATAGCAAATTTAGTAGAAGTTACTCACTTTCGATTTACATTGAGCGAGCGTGTAGAAGCATCGTGATTTTTATCAGGATCAACTGGAAAATAAACACTGTCTCTTTCATACACATCAGTTCTTACGCGAGCAACAATGGGTTTACGTAAAGGGTGATACGGTCAAAATTTGGTCAATATCAACTTGACGTATTTCTTTCAATTTTGCATTTAAAAAACCTGAACACCCCTCATTTTGAAGGTGTGTGTGTGTACAATGTTGCTCCTATTTTGATTTTGGAATTCACTCTTCAGTTGTCAAAATGCCGTCCAAGCAAGAAGAGCAGCGTATCAAAATTTTGCTCGCGCATCGCGAAAATCCGAGCTACTCGCACGCAAAGTTGGCAAAATCGCTAAAAGTTGCCAAATCAACCGTTACAAATGTAATTAAAGTGTTTGGGGAACGTTTGTCGACAGCCAGGAAGTCTGGATCGGGGGGAAATCGAAAACCGGAAGCCGCTGAGACGACAAAGAGAGTTGCCGATAGTTTCAAGCGAAACCCTAACCTCTCTCTCCGAGATGCCGCAAATAAGCTGGGTGTATCGTCTACAACCGTGCATCGAGTCAAAAAACGAGCCGGACTATCGACTTACAAAAAGGTAGTGACTCCAAATCGCGATGATAAACAAAATACGACGGCCAAAGCGCGATCCCGGAGGCTGTACACGACGATGCTGACGAAGTTTGACTGCGTGGTAATGGACGACGAAACCTACGTCAAAGCCGACTACAAGCAGCTTCCGGGACAGGAGTTTTATACGGCAAAAGGAAGGGGAAAGGTAGCAGATGTTTTCAAGCACATGAAACTGTCAAAGTTCGCAAAGAAATATCTGGTTTGGCAAGCCATCTGTACCTGTGGCTTGAAAAGCAGCATTTTCATAGCTTCCGGGACTGTCAACCAAGAAATTTACGTGAAAGAGTGTTTGAATAAACGTCTGCTGCCTTTCCTGAAGAAACACGGTTGTTCCGTACTGTTTTGGCCGGATTTGGCATCTTGCCATTACGGTAAAAAGGCCATGGAGTGGTACGCCGCCAACAACGTGCAGGTGGTTCCCAAGGACAAGAACCCTCCCAACACGCCAGAGCTCCGCCCAATTGAGAAATACTGGGCTATTGTCAAGCGGAACCTAAAGTAGACCAAAAAAACTGCTAAGGGCAAGCAGCAGTTCAAGGCAAACTGGCTTTCTGCGGCGAAGAAGGTGGACAAGGTGGCTGTACAAAATCTGATGGCAGGGGTCAAGCGTAAGGCCCGGCAATTCGGATTCGGAAAAGCGGAAGCCTAACTGAATATTTTTCCTGAATTTTATACTAATTGAACTTGAAAAAGAAATTTAATTTGATTTTTTAAATAAACGATTTCACCGATTTACACGCGTTTTCCCTTGACCAAATTTTGACCGTATCACCCTTTATGAATGATAAGGAGTGAGAAAAAAGGACGATTTCACATGCAGAACCTTCGTAGATCGAGGTTCATCTTCGAGAGGACCCAATTTGAGTACAGTAGACCATCCAATATATCCACGTACCTGGAATGTTTTCTCGATGAACATTTCAAATGGTCCTATCTGCTTTGATCGATTCTCTTCATCGACTTTCTCTTTCGTTAATAACTCAGCTGCAAAACCTTTCCCTGTTGTATTTGACGTATTGGACGCTAGATAAGAACCTCCTTTATCAAACTATGTGGTAGAACTAGCGCGAAATCTGTTTGCATAGCAGTGGTTATGAAAAGAGAAAGTCGATGAAGAGAATCGATCAAAGCAGATAGGACCATTTGAAATGTTCATCGAGTTTTCATGAAATGGTGAGGTTAAAGAATTTTCAGTCGTGCTTTACATGTTGACAGTGAAATATTGATATGGTACGGTATAAAATGTAATTGAAGGTGTCATATTAGACCGAGGTTAGGGACATATACCCTATGCCGAAAATCCAAAATCATAATCAAATCGCAAAATTCCAAAGTCTCAAGATCAACTCGTTATCAAAAGCGAAAAATCAACTCTGACAATTGGGGCTGCGGCCTTCCTCCGGTTTGAGTGAAAGGAAAGTCATTCCCCGTTTGGCTCGAGAACATTAATATATTCTTGCACAATAAATGTATAAGAAGGCGTAAACTTGGCCTGGCACGGGATAGCAAGAAAGCAAGACCGAAGGGAGGGGCAAACTTTTGTAATTTTTATTTCAGCTCTCAGAAACCCGGAGAGATTGTGTGATTTCCCTTGCATGTGTGTGTGTGTGTGCGCTCATATTTATTTTTTATTTAACTTATCCGAGCAAACTTTTTAACTTTTTGCTCATATATAGGACTCGGAAAAGCGCTTTCGCCGGAGGCAATTTGATATCCGAAACTTTGCGTCTACTGATTTCGAAATTGAATTCTCGCTTCGACGCTGCGATGGTGGGTGGGCGAATTTTTATTGACATATGAAAAGTTACACCCCGAGCTTGCACGTACATATCTGTTTGACTTGGGCGAGTGGGATAATTTCTACAAAGAAACACCAGAACATGGCAATTCGTTTGATGTTGGTTGGGACTTCCCTTCGGACGTGAATCTTACATTATTATCAAATGACAATCATTTACAGCATCCTCCCATGGAAGGAAGCTGCTCTACCAGAGCGTTATAATTACCTTGCTCTCGGCTCTGGAGCTCCGGTTGGTCAAACCACACAGACTGAAGAGTCCCAGCTGCTTTGTCTTTGTCACTTTCAAGTCAATCTGACCAATTACTCAATCGGAGAGTAGGCTGACTTCTTTTGTTTCACCAACAACGGGATGTACACAATGGGCGGCCTGCTTCCTGAGTTTAAAGCAACCAGCCAATCGTTTCAAGTGGATCACCTCTCTCTCTCTCTTCTCGTCCCTCTCCGTTTCAATCTATTATCGCTTTCCCATTCAGCACACCAAAATAGCAGCCATTCCTTCAATAGCGTGATAATCCGTTTGTTGACCCTTCGTTCGCGAACAATGGGTCCAAAGTAGGTCCTCGTAAAACATAATGACGGTGATCCCTCGTTCTCGCATAATGGCGGAGGACGAATGGACGAACGGCTTAAGTGGGCACAATCCCTCCACCACCCCCCCATTCGAAAATCCGGACCGGCAATCTGCCATATCCATAGACAGAAACCTTAACTTGTGTAGACGGAGGAAAATGGTCTTGCTCAGTTCTTAGAACCGCAACAAGCTGCAGCAATACAATATCAGAGAAGCATCGGCTCTTTTGCGGCGAGTGGAATAAGGGATAAGAAGGGCTCTTCATAATGGGTCTGTTGTCTGTTCCGTCGTCATCGTCGTCGGAGGAAAACCGGTAGCAAGCAGCTGAGCTCTGCTAGGACTAGTAGATTGATTTCCTACCGCAAAAAGGAAAAAGGGGTAGAAGGGGTAGACGCTGCTGCTCCTCGGTATTAAAGATGATGAGGAAGTAGTCTTAAGTGCGGTTTTGGATCAACAACTCATTTATGCTGGCTGTTGTGAGCTTTCCCGGAAGCTTTTAAATCGAGGAGCGAGAAGATTAGCATATAAGCTCGTGGGAAAGAAAGACTTTACACTTTCAATGTTGAAGGAGAATTGCATCGAGAACTATTCATATTTTTAGAAAGTCCAAAACACTGATTAGAGTATCAAATGAACTTAAATCCTCTCGTTCCAACGTTTCGTTCCCGGTTTGGCCTTTCTCAGGGATAAAAATTCTTCATATTTTCTGAAGATTGAAGCACCGGAATCCTGACACAAATTCGAATACTTTTCATATATGACGCAGCTCGTAAATTTTATCATGGCCGCTTAGTATTGTTCTGATTCATCACACATATTGATTATGTTGAAAAGAAGACGTAATATTTTAATAACCTGGACTAATGAACAATCCAATGTAGTCATTTGGAGCCATTTCCGTTTCTTCCCTAAAGTTCTCCGAAGTTCTCTAAATTCTTGGACTTCCCTCAATTTCACTGAAGTTTCTGCGAAGCTACCGAAGTTTTCTGAACTTCCCTGAAATTCCCGCATCTTCTTTAAGGTTTCCGAAATTGTC